GGGCGCCGCGGCTGCTCTCGGGAGAAGCATCGTCCTTCTCCCCGCGCCGGCAGCACCGCGCTCCCGCCCTGCCGGCGCTGGCTGGGGCGACGCCGCCTGCCTGCCTGCCCTTCCCCCTCCGCACCGAGCTCAGCAGCCACCCCGGCTCTCCGCCCCACGCATGTCCCGGATCGCCCGTCCTTGCGCGGCTGCTCGCTGCCTCCCGTGCTCATCGGCGCATCCTGCCGCCCTTCCCTCTCCCTTCCGCAGCTCCTGGCCAGCCGCTGCTGCACTGACACCTGCTACAAGGCAGCGCCCGCGGCCGCGTTAGGCGTTTCGCTGGTACCTTTCTGCAGAGCTGTCCTCTTCACCTTCGTCCGTCTCCTAGCAACCCAGCATCCAGCTGCTGGGTACCACTTCTTCTGGCCCGGTGCAAATGGCTCGTCCTCAGGAAGGAGCAAGACAAGCAGCCTTTGTGCTGCTTCTGTATGCCTGGGGAGCCTTCTGCTGTCTGTCAGTGGAAGCACCTAGCTACTCTGACCCCTGGAAAATACCTCTGAAACTCCTCTAGTATGTCAGGGAGAGATTGAAGCAGCTGCCCCACAGCAGAAGGAAGGGGCACACCTGTGACACCATTATGGAGGAGGCATTGGCAAGCTGCACAGCTTTACAGGGGTGAGAAGGAGAGCAGGTACTAACCTCACTGAAATAAAAACCACATCTCATGTCTTCAGCACCTCTTACTCCAACACCCATTATGTTCTAGAGGGTAATCAGAGAGGTGACATACTGAGGGGAAGGGGACTTCCATACCTGGGAAGCCATCTCTCACAGAAGGCTGACATCAATGAAGAAATCCAACATTGCCTTAAAAGTGCAAGTGCAGCCTTCAGACACCTGAGGAAACAGGTATTTGAAGATTGTGATGTCACATTTGAAACTAAGGTCATGATTTATCAAGCAGTCATGATCCCTACCTTACTGTACACAGCTGAAATGTGGACAATGTACAGGAGACCTCAAGTCGCTGGAAAAGTACCATCAGTGCTGCCTGCAGAAGGTCCTGCCAATCCAGTGGGAAGACAGATGCACCAGCATTAGAGTCCACTCACAAGCAGAGTCCATTTCTGTCACAATGGAAGACAGGCTGAGGGTACAGGCTAACCTGGACAGACTTGTAAAGTGGGCGGATCTAAACCTGATGATGTTTAACATTAAGAAATGTAAAGTGCTCCATCCGGGGAGAAATAATCCACAACATACTTACAGGCTCAGTGGTGCTACACCACAACTGAAAAAGACTTGGGGTCATGATCGGTCACAAAATGAACATGAGCCACCAATGTGATGCTATAGCCGGCAAAGTGGACAACACTCTGGCATGCATCAACCAATGCATCACAAGCAAGACTAAGGATGTCATCCTCCTGCTCTACTCAGCATTAGTGAGGCTGCAGCTGGAGTACTGCATCCAGTTCTGGGCACTGCACTTCAAGAAGGATGTAAAGAAGCTGGAAAGAGTCCAAAGGAGGACCACACAAATTATTAGAGGTCTGGAGAACAGACCATATGAGGAGAGGCTGAAGGACATGGGACTGTTCAGCCTGGAAAAGAGAAGTCAGAGGGGACTTGGTGGCAGCTCTTAAGTGTGTAAGGGGTGAACATCAGGGGCTAGGAGAGCATCTGTTCACCAAGACACCCCAGGGGAAAACTAGGAATAATGGTCATAAACTGATAGAAGATCAACTCAGATTAGACATAAGGAAAAACGTTATGGTTCATGTGTCCAGAGTCTGGAACAGACTTCCCCTGGAGGCGGTATGGTCACCTTCCCTGGAAATCTTTAAAAGATGAGTGGATGCACATCTCGCTGGGGGCATCTGACCTCAGTAGTCTTTCCTGCCTTTCTGCTGGACTTGAAGATCTTGTGAGGTCCCTTCCAGCCCCTAATTTCTATGAATTTATAAATAGCATTGAGGCAATGATCATCTGACACCAGCTTCGCTGGGCCAGCCATGTCATCCAGATGTCTGACACCAGAATCCCAAAGCAAGTTTTATTCTTCCTGCTCAGTAAAGGCATACACTCAAGAGGAGGGAAGAGAAAGCACTTCAAGGATGTCCTCAAAGCCAACTTAAAAAAATGTTACATCAACATCAATTCATGGGACACTATCACCCAGGACCTCCCCAAATGAAGAATAGTCTGCTGCAAGGGTCTCTGTACTTTGAAACCTTATCACGACAATGGGAGACAGAAAAGTGGGAGCGGCAGAAACAGTGTGTTGTGGAACAAATCAAGAATCCAGAACCACCCACCCTACACAAACACCTGCTTGAGTTGCAACAGAGTCTGTCAATCCTGGGTCAGCCTCATCAGCTACCTTTAGACCCACAGATAAAACAATCATGAAAAACAGTCATCCTTGACTGTGAGGGGTTGCCAGTGATGATGATGATACTGAGGGGACAAAGGCAGAAATCACAGATATCAAGAGTGTGGATGTATGTGCACCGTTGTGTGATGAGTGAGGGGAAGGAGATGTGATCTTATTTGTACAGGTATATGTATATTTATGGCAGGGAATAGCCCCAAATAATGTCTGTACCTGCATGTGAACACATGCACATGTGACTGCTGGCACTACTGCACATACTAGGGTGCAATAGTCTGATCAGTACAAAAGAAACTTTCTCTTGATAAGGAGCTCAGAGACCACTCCTGCTGCTTTGGTGAATGTCCATAAACTTTCTTGCCCACAGCAAGGGAGGTCCATCCTCACCCAGGCAGCCAAACCTGCAACACTTGACAGGACTGTCCCACCAACCTGCAGTCTGCAGGATTGATTAGGAATGCCCTGAACCAGCTTGGGAAACCTTCCTCACAGACCAAACCTAGAAGGCTGTTCCTGCTCCCCAGGCTGTCAGACATAGAATCGCACAAGGCCCAGCCCTCCCATCCATAGCATGCAAAATACAAAAAGGCATCAGGATCGCTGGCAAGACATCTCAGAGGAAGTGCTGGCAGGTCACAAGTGACACCCAGCTCTACATCTCCTGTGCCTTCATTGTTTGAATGAAGAGCAGCTGGCAGTGGCTAAAGCTGAATCTGGCCAAGACGCTTGCAAGAAGGATGCACTTGGAAAAGCCTACCTTCTCTTTCCGACATTCCTCATTACCAAAGGCACCTCTTTGTTTATTAAATCAGTCTGAATCCTTGGGATCCTTTTGGACAATATCATAATGGCAGAAATGCCAATTACTATTGCAAGTGGCCAGCAGATGCAGTCTACCTTGTCAAACCTGGCCTCGGTAATCCAGTTATTTGTGACTTCTGAGTTTGATTACTGCTGCTCATTCTATCCAAGAGCAAAGCCTTATACCCTAAAAAAGGCTCCATCTGCCTGAGAACACAGCAAAAAAGATACAACAAACACACCAACTTCCCACTGAATACAGTGTATAGCTCAAGAATCTTATGCTTCTTCCACACAAATGACCTTTAGTAACTAAAAAACTCATTCTCCTTCCATAGCTCTGACCTCATACAACAGCAGTATTCTACTTCAGCAATGATAGTGCTGGGCAACAGATTTATGAGAACAGGAAAGTCCAGCAGAGGCTTGTGCATACCAGAGACAGAACCTCTATAGGAGCTGGATCTGAAATTAATTCCCACAGGAGTTATGAATGGCCACAGTCCTCACTGTGTTCAGAACTAATGCAAAGTTCATTTAACTAAATTTTTCATGAATGAGCTCTTCCCACATGGAAAACATACCCACCCACTTAGTGAATCAAACACAAGCACTCCCTGATTACAATATTTCTCATGCAGACACAGGAGGGAGAGATTATTGTTTTCTTTTCTATTTTTATATACTTTGGAGGCATTTAGACATGGTGACAGACACCAAACAGCAACACGCGCACACACATACTCTCTCTCTCTCTCAAAATGTCTGTGGATTCATATGTATGAGCTGTACAAAGTAATCATGAATATTTACCAGCAGAGGGCAAGCAGCTACAGATCCAGGAGTGAGAATGTGAGTAGTCAAGCTAGCCCAGCCGAGCAGCACTCAGGAGCCTGGCAAGGAGCTGAGTGTGGGACCCAAGGATCTAGGACCCCTGAGAGGGGCTGAGGGAGAAACCACTAGGGTCTAGGAGTCTAAGGGGTATCCCCCATTGGGAGAGGGGAGGACTCACAGAATGGACAAGGCAAGCCCAAATAGTGTTTATTGCTTGGATTGGTGATTCTAAAAAGGGCAATGCCTCGGA